TTTTTTATTTTACTTCAACCATTTCTCCACCATTTCACCTCCAACCTTTGGGATTTTGAGCTTGCATAGAAGGAAAATTGACGGGGACTAAGAGAGGAACAAAACCCCTCAATTAATTTCGGATTTGGAGCACATTTTTCCTTTGGAGTAGCTAGGGTTTGCTCCTAGCTTGAGGTAGGGATGTATTGTGCTTATAATCTAGGAGTTCTTGGAATTTTATGACCATTGTGTAAGTTATGCATACGCTTGTGTGTGGGGGTTTAATTAGAGAGCTTATATAATGATTTAATTACATGTCTATAATGTTTTATTGAGTTTTTATATTTATTTTCATATGTAATATGTTATTTGTTCTATTGTTGATATTATGGATGTTAATTAAAGTCCTACATCTTAATGTGTACAATTTCTTGTAATTAAAGTGCCTTATATGTTGTGTTTATTCATAGAATTATCATGTATTTGTTATTTTGTGAAGGTTAATTTTGAAGATATATATTTCTATGATAATGTTAAATTTTTACACACTTGAAATTTGATATAATGATAACATGAATTTAAATGACTTTAAAATACCCAATTTGTTGACATTGCATCAAAGAGTATGCCATTATAGTGATTTGGGCCATAGGACATGGATTGTGTGATTAGTATAATTTATGTGCGCATGTGAAGTGCAATTTGGGCATATAATGGTATATGGATTATTTTGTAGACTTGTTTGTTGATTTTGGGAGATACTCAGGGGTTGTTACTTTGAGAATGTGAGGGCTTGACGCTCGCGGGTGAAACATGAGTTTCTCCACTTTATATTGGCCAATCGGTTAGTTTTCGGCGGACTAGTAATCCGAAAACGACTATTTTTATTTAGGCGCATAGCATGGCTATGTGACCGGGAGTGTGGGTGGGTTCCGAGTTATCCTGCTAATTGATTTTGACTTTTATTTTCAAGTTGGTATTTATGTGTTATTACAACTTGTGGATTTATGTACATTACACTATATTATTTATGTTTGTCTTGATGTATGAATTAATATTATTTATGCTAGACTAGGATGATCCTATTTAGGTTCCTCTTGAGACTAGACGTTAGGGGGCATGTTTCTTGTATTGTATGGCCATGCAATGTTTGTAGAATTTTGAGAAACCTAGTTTAGATTCATGAGACATTCGTACGGAGCAATTCGTTACTCACCCCGTTGATTCTTATATTTTTCAAGAAAGGGCATTGCCCAAGAGGAGGTTCCTCATCCCTAATTTGATTGGGATCTTGACAACATTTTTGAGCTACTTGTGATAATTGTAACATTTATTGTGTAGCTTACTTTTGGACTTGTATTTTGATACATGGTGTATTTTGGGTATTATAATTGATGATTTGCTTGTAATATTCTTTTTAAGCAGGGAAATGACTTAAGAACTCACCCATCTATCTTTTGGAGTTCTTATAGAATTTCCTCCCTTATCTTTACTAATGTAGTCCCATAACATTATTTCTCATTTTGTGGATTGTAATGAAGCCATGGAGGCTATAACTCTTATTTGGATTATATGAATTGTTTAGAAGCAATGTTCACGAAGCTAATGCATGTGTTGGAACCCAATTACCAGCATAATTTCAGTTGGAGATTTTATTACAAGTTACTATTAATTCTATTATCATTATAATTATATGTATATAGTTAGGTTTTAATAACTTTATTATTACTGTTTGGAGGCTTTGATGCAAATATGTATCACATGGATTATATATATATATGTATAAAACCAAGTCAGGTGGCAGTGGGAGTCTTAGTTTGTGCATTTAATTCATAGGCATTTCCGTGGTTGACTAAGTCAGTCCAAGACCATGATTAAGTCATGTATTGCTTGTTTGCCTGTGTGTTGTATTTGAATCTGTGAATGAGATTCGTATACCATTTTGGCACCTCACTCCCTCGTCCATTATAGGGTGTTGACAGATCATAGGTATATATATATATATATATGTATATGTATATATATATATGTATATGTATTCTTGGTGACCCGAATGGTGAGCCGCACTGTGCTGTTGCCCAGGTGGTGGGGTTGACAACCAGATTTTTATTATTATTTTCATTTACTTATTATTTATTCGCCCAATTGAATTGGGTTGCACCATCATGGCCTGTTATTGAGTTGTTTATTGTATTAGTTGGGTGACATACATTTTAGTAACTGGGCAGGGATTTAAGAGTTTAAATAAGTGGGCTTCATTTATTTAATTAGTTAATTATTATTTTTATTTTAATAGTGAATTTATTTATTTATTTATTTACTTATTTATTTTTATTTTCCTTTCTTTTCTTCGCGACCCAAGTTATGGGATTTTGGGGCGTGACAAGCTTTTCTTAAATTTCCCCGGTGACTTCACTACCGTCGCTGTCCTGATGCAGTATATGCCCGACGGTGGGTAGGTGATTTTCTTTTAGATCTTCTCTCTCTATATTTTTTATCCTATTCCCTTAGGGCTTCTTTACTAACAGTAATGATTCTTGATTTTTACTATCAATTTCTAAAATTGAGAATCAAAAGTAAAAATCATGTTTAATAAAATACTTTTACTTTTTTTGTTTTAAGAAAGTACTTTCAAATTTTGTAAAGGGAAGAGAAAGTGAGAAATCCTCACTTTCTCTTTTTTCTACACTGTTCATAGAAATTACTTTCTATACTGTAGCATTATTTAAAAAAAAAAAAAAACACCGTCTCACTCTTCCTCTTCGCTTCTCGTATTCTTCACACTGCAACAATGGTGAGAGGCTCATCTCAAATCCCAATCATCATCCTCATCGACCACCAGACCCGGTCCCGTTAGCATGGCACCTCCGCGGCGGACTCAAGATCTCGCCCACTGTCGTTCTCGTCATGAGCCTCTGCTTCATCGGCTTCGTCACCGCCCTCCACGTTTCCGACAAGCTCTACCGCGACTGATATGGTGCCGGAGCTTAGTTTTCCAGATTCTGATTAACCGAATCAGGATTGTCTGTCGGATTCTTCATGATTGGTAATTGAAATGCCACGAAAAAACGTCATAGTGATGATATATATATATATATATATATATATATATATATATATATATATATATACTCTAAAAGTAACAGATTTCAACTGGAAATGAAAAGGTCTCATGCAGGTGTCTTAACAAAAACGAATTATTGACTAAAAGCTCAATTCAAAGTTTTGGTAGTGCGATTCCACCAATTCAATGAATGGAAGAGCTTTGCCTCTTACTTATATATATATATATATATATATATATATATATATATATATATATATATATAACATTGATTATCAATTTAGAAAACAAAATCAAAATTTTAATTATTAAACTTGCTTTTTAATTTCTTGCTTTGAAAATATTGAAAGCATAAAAAATTAGTAAACATAATTCTACTTTATATTTCAGCTTCAGAAATTAAAACATGATTTTACTTTTGAAGAAAGCAAAAATAAGAATGTGAAAGCGTTAGTAATCGGGCCCTTTGTGTATGCTGTGGTATGTGTGGATGATGCAGTATATGTGTGTTTGATTGAGCCCATTTCAATTAATTTATGGAAAGTAAAAATAGATGTGGTTAATAATAACGTTGGGAGTGGTGATGGTGGTGTAGGAGGTTGCACTGACAATGGTGGGAGGGAACATGGATGATTTTCCGGTGACTTGGCTTGGTGTCGTCCCAACTTCTTCATCTCTTTGGAAACGCATGATTCGATTGATGTGTTTAGAGAGAGAAAAGAGGAGTGATGTGGTAGGGAAGCGATGGGGGTGTACTCAAGGGCAAAAATAAAACTTCCCAATATACAATATCTTTTATTTTTTTCATTAAAAATAAATACTTTAATTTTAAGGTCAAAAGTGTAAATTTATATTATTTTTTGTGGTCAAATGCTCAATATGGACCTTTCTATAATATTGCTATAACTTCTATCTACATGCACAATATAGAAACCTGGTGATTTGTGTAATTTGCCCAATTTTTTTTTACTACGTATTTGTTTTTTCGCGTATATCTTTTAGTCATTGTAAAAACCCTTATTTAACCAAAAAAACAAAATTGTAAAAACCTTTCCCGACAAAATTATAAAAACAGCCTTATCTATTCCCTATAAGGCTATACCTTTATTATTACCAAATATAATCTTTTTTTATAATAAAGAAATTATTTTAATAAATTTACTATTAATTCTATATCAATCGGTCCCCTACACTATATAAACAAAATTATTTTATATCCACTACGCTATGCTCTCTCTATATATTATTACTAATTTTAACAAAATACTTGCGGAAAGCAGTATATAAAATTTATATATATGTAACATATATAAATATATTGACTAACTAATAGTTATTAAACTCATACTATTATTTTACTATTTGAACTAAATAAATATTCTCAGTCTATTTATTCTCTCTAATTCTCTTGACTTTACACTTTGAAAAACAAAACCAAATTTAGGATATTTGAAAATTGTATTTTTCTTAAAAACATATTCTCTGTTATAAATTTTCTTTTCGGTAAGTACCTTTGTTGATGTGAAGTTCTATGATATGAGGAAATAATTCAATAACAATGAGAATATAAAGAAATAGAGGCCTAAGTAGATTACCTTTGTTGATGTCAAGTTATGTTATTTAATTTATTTCCCTTCTCTCTCACACACACAAAAGGTATGGGTGTCGCAGAGTGTGGACGAGAGAAACGGGAGGGCAGAGGAGAGAGAAACGGGAGGCAGGGTTTGGTGCTCACAAAAATGTTAAAGCTAATGATTGTAGAGAACTCATAGAGAAGATCACTCACAGAATCTCTCATTGGACTGCAAGATCACTCTTTTATGCAGGTAGATTGTAGCTTGTTAGATCCGTCCTTGTATCTACACAGCTCTATTGGTCCAGCATCTTCATTCTTCCAAAGAGTATTATCAATGAACTTAATAGGATTTTCAGATCCTTCTTATGGTATGGCCCAGAGATGAAATCCAATGGAGGAAAGGTTAATTGGGAAGCAGTGTGTAAGCCTAAGGCTAAAGGGGGTCTGGGTCTGCCAAACCTAGAAATTTCTAACCGTGCAGCTGTCCTTAGATATATTTGGGATCTTCACACTGATAATACAGATAGAATCTGGTTGAATTGGTGTCGAATTCACCTAATCAAAGGTAAGAATCTCTGGTCATTGAAAATTCCACACTCATACTCTTGGAGTTGGAGGAAAATTCTGCAACTCAGACACCAGGCAAGGCATTTTATCAAACATCTTATTGGGGATGGGAATGATACCTCATTTTGGTTGGATAATTGGTCCTCTGGAGGGCCTCTATGCCTCCGATTTTCTCCTTCCATCCTCTCCTCATCGGGTATCCATGAACACACAAAAGTTTCTCACTTTATTGGCAACAACTCTTGGAGCTTTCCACCCCATTTATCCTTAGCTATCCCTGAGCTCCTCTCCCTACAGCAACCTGTTCCTTTCAGGAAGGACAAATTGATTTGGTTGGTGTCTCCTTCTGGTTCATTCAGCTTGAAGTATACTATTTTCCACCTATCTCATCATGGTCCTGCAGTTCATCCCGAGAATGAGATTTATCATATGGTTGGCTGTTCAAGGCAGACTCCCAACTCTTGACTGCAGAGCCATGGCTAACCATGAAAACTTTTGTACCCTTTGCAATTCTGATATGGAGTCTCATTCTCATCTATTCTTCAACTTTAACTTCTCTTCCCCTCTTTGGAAATTCGTCCAAGATAGATGCAGGTTCTACAAAGCTTTTCAGAGTTAGGAAGATTTGATTCTATGGATAAGTGTTCGATGGAGATCAAACTCACCAATCAACACTCTAAGGAAAGTATGTTTTTCAGCATTGGTTTACCACACATGGGAAGAGAGGAACAACCGCATATTCAGAAGGAATCCAACTTCGCAGAGCAGGGTTCTAGAGGCTTCTAGATCGATTCTGAGCAATTGGAATCTTTCGCCTTCTTTTTGCAGGCCCCCTCCGAGGCCACCAGATTGATTTTCATGGAGTGTATATGTAACGACCCACTCTACCACATGGTATGATATTGTCCGCTTTGGGCCTGAGCCCGTACGGTTTTGCTCTTGGGTTTCATCCCAAAAGGCCTCATACCAATTGGAGATGACACACTTACATATAAGCACTTCACCTTTCCTCAACCCAGGCGATGTGGGACTGTGCACCCGTAGCTCGCCAGTGTGGTAGCCTGACAATGTCTCTCGCATCCGCCCACGGCACACCCGCCCACAGGGTCATCACAATCCACCCCCCTTGGAGGCCCGACGTCCCCGTCGGCACACTTCCGGCTGGGTCAGGCTCTGATACCATTTGTAACGACCCACTCCACCACATGGTATGATATTGTCCGCTTTGGGCCTGAGCCCGCACGTTTTTGCTCTTGGGTTTCATCCCAAAAGGCCTCATACCAATTGGAGATGACACACTTACATATAAGCACTTCACCTTTCCTCAACCCAGGCGATGTGGGACTGTGCACCCGTAGCTCGCCAGTGTGGTAGCCTGACAATGTCTCTCGCATCCGCCCACGGCACACCCGCCCACAGGGTCATCACAGTATATCCCCATCATAGTATGGTTTGCTCACCGGAACTGTGTTTGAGATTTCTTGTATCGGCTTTCTGCTTCATGAAGTTCTCTTTGCTTTGGGTTGGCCTTAGCTCTGGGCTTTGGATTGGGTTTGCCTTCGGGCTTGTAATTTGCCTCTAGTGGGCTGTTTGGGCTAAAGGCCTTTCTTGTATCTTTTTCTCTATCTATTCAATTCGCTTAATTTTTCAAAAAAAAAAAAACGTTACTCTCAATAGCTTTATTCTTATGTTTATGTACATACTACATATATTTACAAAAAAAATTATTTGGCAGGATTTGGTGCTCACAAATTGCAAGAGTTAGAAATTTTTTAATATAGTCATACATAAATAGGACAGTGAAACTAAAAATTACTGTTCGGATTATTAAAAGTTTAAACAACCAATCCATTCAAATTACGATTGACAGCAACTATAAATAGTAGGGCGAAAATAAGAAACTATGCATGTAATTTATTCAAACATGTACGAAAATCACAAAGGCAGATTCAATAAGAAAGAAAGAATGTACAGAAATATCATCAAACCAAAGCGAGAGTCTCCGTGAATATATAAGCTTCAAAACGTTCAAATTGCAAAGAACCCTTTTCCTGAAATTTTCCAGGTGCTGCCAAATTATGAAGCTCCTTAAAAGTATTATCCTTAAACTTATAAGATCAGACCGTACTGGGTACGCGCAACAGGAGCGAGGACTCATCTTCATCATCTTCTCGAACAACACAAAGAATAGAGTAAGTATAATTCCTACTAGGAGAGCCAGGGTCTCTCCGATCCATCTCTGGAAATGCATTTATAATTCTAGCAAGATCAACATGATACTTCACAAACCAGTTAGAGTAGCCCCTCTTCATCTCAAAAACATCAAATTGCATTTTCCAAGACCCATAACTTACTATAAAATGCAAATGGCCATTAGACTCACCGAAGTACCTGAACCTGCTCTGCTCCCAACCCGCATAAGTAAATGGAATCATTGGAATTGTTTCACGTCAATGTCGAAGCGAAAAGAAGCCCCACCGGGACTAATCCAATGAATCGAGCCGTTACAAAAAAACCCCATCACCGTTCCAGATATCATATGAGATCTCAAATGAATCTCCATATGACCTCCAGGACCGAGTCTCTGATGAATATACATCGATACGGTACTTATATATAGAAAGCAAATAACTGTATAATGAATGGATTTCAATGGATCAAAAACCAATCCAGTTCCAGAACAAGTGGAAGATTCAGTTCCAGTGAGAGGAGGAAGCGTCGAGTATTTATTGGCGCTGGGATTGTATATATAATATTCAAGAGTTTTTTCTCGGATTAATTTTCGGAAAGTACAACAGAGAAACAAGCCATTGCAAGACTATTAAGATTTTGATACCTGAAGGATCGTCCACGAAATTGAGATACCTGAAGGGAGCTCCAGAGAGATTGCTGTTGCTGATCGAAACTTACTCGAATTCGGACTTGATGGCGTGGAGGCCAGAGGAGAGCGGAGGGTGTGAGGTGTGGGTGTCGCAGAGTGTGGAGGAGAGAGAAATGGGATGCAGAGATGAGAGAGAACCAGTGTTTGGACACAGATTCCAATCTGATGAGAGACTTGACCGGCATGCAGATGAGGATCTCCGACAATAGGCCATTGTTGTTGGCAATTTTGATGGGTGCTGCCGACAGCATTTGGTGGCAGTACTCCTCTGGTGAGGAGATTTGGTTGTCGCTGCCTGTGATCGGTAAGAATTTTTTTTTTCTTTCCGAAGCTGATCGGCAGCATAATGTTGCCGACTAAGTGAGGAGAGTTGGTTGCAAACCCACTCGGTTGAAGTATAATTACTACTTTATTTAAAGACGTTTAATCTGTATTGAATCACCATTTAGCAGGCTCCTCGGACTACGGTCTCTTTCTTGGCCGGCCGTTTCCAGCACTCTGCCAGATTTTATTTTTAAACTAATGGTACTTGCCAAGATTCAAAAACCAAATGACTTTAACCATTAGAGCAACCATGACTTCTTGATTCTAAAGGGCCAAGCCACATCATTGTTATAATCGTTATTCCATGTTATTGATTATGGTACTCCGTCGTTTGTCTGTTTTTGATAAGAGAGTCCATGGATGATTAGGCCAAAATCGAGTTTTTATACTATATTTTAGGCGGAAACTGTGCATGTGTCTTCCTCTCGATCTTTTATATCACCCGGTGGACAATTGCACAGTAGTTATTTCAACCAAATCACCAAGCTTATGAAAATTTATACAAAGACCAAACAAATACATATGACTGAACAAGCGCAGCAACAAAATAAAACTCACCAGTCTCACCCATCATCCTCACCTTAATGCACTGGCAATTTATCATTTGAAGAAGAGACAAAAAATGCCCTATACTTTTTGTCTTCCTGATCTAGTACCATATAACTAGTACAGAGACTCCAACATTCTGCAACCTGAGGTCGAAATACTAATCTGCAGTGTCACTCGTCAAAGGATGCAATAAAAAATACAGGACATGGAACAGTTTCGATGCTGGCCTGCATTGGCACTTTTAAAAAGAGGAGAAAATGAAACAGGTTCCTAGTAAGAAATGAAATGATTTTGGCAATCAATTTGGTAGAGACAGACTTAAATGTCTACACGCAGATATCAAAGTCTACCAATGTATATAGTACATCACAACTTCACTCAACCAAGTCGCTGCAGGTCACGCTTTAAGTTATCTGTAAATGTATATAAAGTTACAGTTATTAAAGTGAATGTAAGTATCAATTTCAAATCATTATTAAAGTTAGAGTTAATTAAATGTCTACATATAGCATGCCAAGATTCAGTCTAATAGAAAAGAGTCTTACAAAATACCACAATTAATTATATCTTTTAGTTTTAGTATTGTGTGATGCAACTCAAGCTCCAGGAAATTCCTAGCAGGAATGATGACTAAAGTACCTAAGAGTGAAACTGAGATTCTCTTTTACTTTTATTGTTCATTTTTACAATTCAAATCCACAAATTGTAATATCTCCACTAAATTTTAGCTTCCTGCTGAAGGAAACTGGAAAGTATAAAACTTATCATCGGATCAGACCAACTATTTTTTGAAAAGTACAGCAGAGCAACATGCCGGGCAAAACTGTAAGATTTTGATACCTAAAGATCGTCCACGAAATTGAGAGATCTGAAGGGGGCTCGAGAAAGATCGAATGAAACAAACTCAAATTTGGACTAGGGGCACAGAGGAGGGGTTTTTCCGAAGGAAGAGGCCATGGGCTCTGCGGTTTGGGGGTGTCGCAGAGTGTGGAGGAGAGAGAAATGGGAGTCAGAGATGAGATGAGAGAGAACCAGTGTTTGGGCACAGATTTGAGTCTGATCAGACACTTGACGAGCGTGCAAATGAGAATCTCTGTCGAGAAGTTGTCGTTGCCAGCAATTGTGGTGGCCGTTGACGCGGCGTTTGGTGGCAGTCCTCCTTTGGTGAGGATATTTCGTTGTTGGTGCCTATGGTGGCTAACATTTTTGTAGAGTCCCGAGGAGTTAAGACTACTCTACTACCATTATACCCCAATCCGAGTCAAATGGCAACCATAAAATACTTTACACTATTTGTCTTCCTGATCTAGAATTTTACAACTACGACAAAGAGTGTAACATTCTGCTCTTCAGGTTGAAATTCGTTGGTCCTAAAGCAATATAAGGGAATTTGGCTTAGTTCTATAGACCAATACCAAGATCTACCCAACAAATCACGAATAACTTTAACTCAAACCCTTATTTCGTGCAAGGTTTAAAACTTCAACCTATAAACAACATTTGTTCAAAAGAGAAAATTATATAGGGAGCTCCTCATAGTTCATTAAGTCCAAATAGGAAATAATATGATACATTGATTTTTTTTTTTTTTTTTTCTGTGACATGATACATAAAATTTCAATCATATTAGAACTTCACATACTACAATAAAAATAAGGTATTAGATCCAAAAAAAAAATTGGAAAATCAAAATCATGTATACTTGAACCTTCAACACCACCTGAAAAATATATATATATATATATATATATATATATATATTGCAGCAACTCGTCAAAGGATACAGTAGAACAGGGTATGGAACATCATGGATGCTGGCCTTCAATGACACTTATCAGAAGGAGGAGACAGTGAAACAAGTTCCCAATAGGAAAGGAAATGATTTCGGTAATCGATTTTAAAGAGATGACTTTAATGTCTGCACACACACGGTAAAGTTTACAAACTATATGTATCACAACTTCACTCAAATAAGTTGTTGTAGGTCAGGCTTTAACCCATCTGTATGTGTATATATATCAAGTCATAATTTTTCTTTTTCTTTTTTAGCAAGTATGAATTTCAAATCATATCAGAGATAGAATTACTTAAATGTCTAGTTATATGCAGTGATTCAATTTATAGAAAAAAGTTTTAGAGAACATCACTATTAATTATGTTTTTTTTATGTATTATGAGATGCCATTCAAATTCCAGGAACGATATATCAAAAAGGACCCTAAGAGTGAAACTGAGATTCTCTTTCTATTACTGTTTATTTTAGAAGCCAAACCCCAATTTGATTAAACTTTGTTTTGGCCCTATAACCCTATTCAACAAGGCTAAGACATTTCTCCTTCAATAATTCGACATACACCAAAAGAACCAAAAACAACCAAAGCCACTTTTCAAGTAGACTGTCCACAATTCAAACCCAGAAATTTCAATATCTCCACTAAATTTTAGCTGCAAAACCCAACAATAATCAGCCTTGAAAAGCAACATTGTCCTATGCTACATAGGCTTCATAAATAGAAAAATTGAAGGAAAAATACTTAAGTGTCGGTCCTGCTGAAGGAAACTTGAAAGTCGGAAACTATGATTTATCTGTTCCGCTAATATGCAATCACACAAATGTTGTGGTTGTGATAACCAAAAACAACTTGATTCTCAGCATAATCTAGCTAAAAGGAATTTCATCATTGATGCAACCCAATTCTAAAGAGGTGGGAGAAGATAAAGCAACAGAACTCACACATATAACAGCATTTCCCGTCCCCCATGAGAAATATGGGAAACAAAGAAACAGCTTGGTACTTAACAATACAAGTTGGACACCCTTAAAGTTGCAAACATTTTGAAGGAGAGGGAAAACTACAAAAACAGGAGGCATGTATGCAAGAACTTAAAGATATAAACACGCACAAACACTTTAAAGCCTAACTAACAACTTCACTCGAGTAAGAAAACATAGACTTCGTCAAGTGTGGCAGAACAAGCTCGAGGCATCAAAAGGTGTCTCACCCTAAGCTAGCAAATATGGTTCAACCAAATAGACACACTTAACACTACCAAAATCCAGTCAGGCATATATCATGAAGATTGAAATTACTTTCTTTTCAAGTGTTTAACAAATTTAATAATTTCCAGCACCAACATTGAATAATACATTCAATGACGTAGTGCTAATTTAAGATCTCGACATACCAATTGGATTACATCTAATATCATTGATAAAAGTACCATTATTGGCACGAAATGATGCCAGAGGCAGCCATAAATATCTATCTTGAGTGATACATTGACAGAAATATAATCAAACTGAAGCAAGAGTCTCTGTGTATAAATAAGCATCAAAACATCCAAATTGCAACGAACCCTTTTTGTGAAATTTTCCAGGTGCCAAATTATGAAGCTCCTTGAAAGTATTATCCTTAAGTTTATAAGATAGGACCTTACCGGGTACGTGCAACAGCAGCGATGACTCATTTTCATCCTCTTCTCGAACAAGATTAAGTATTGAGTAAGCATAATAATTCATACAACGAATGTCACGGCGGCTCCTATCCATCTTTGGAAATGCATTTACAATTCCAACAAGATCAACACGATACTTCACAAACCATTTAGAGTAGTCTCTCTCCATCTCAAAAACATCAAATTGTGTTGTCACAGTCCGATAATTCTCTATAAGATGCAAATGGCCATTAGACTCACCAAAGTACCTATACTTCCTCTCCCTCCTCCTACCCCCGGAATCCGGAATCCTCCTACCCCGGGAATCCGGAATCGGCAATGTTTCAAGATACTCATGATCAACATCAAAGCGGAAAGAAGCCCCACTGAGACTAATCCAATGAATTGAGCCGTTACAAAAGACCCCATCTGTGAGCCCCATATAATATGAGGTTTGAAATCTCCCAGATGACCTCCAAGACCGAGTCTCCGATGAATATACATTAATATAGTAATCACATTTACGGTTGTAAAAAACGTTATACTCATCCATACTACTTACGCAAATAACTGTATAATGAATAGATTTCAATGGATCAAAAGCCAAACCATAACCGAAAACAGTAGATTCAGTTCCAGTGAGAGGGGGAAGTGTCGAGTATTGCTTGGTGGTTGGATTGTAAATATAATAATTGTGATTTGTTTTTCCGACACTTTTTCGAAAAGTTGAACAGAGCAACAAGCCATTGCAAGACTGTAAGATTTTGATACCTGAAGGATCGTCCGCGAAATTGAGGGCTCCGGAGAGATTGTGATTGTTGTTGCTGAATGAAACGAACTCGAATTCGGACATGAAGTCGCAGAGGAAAAGGGGGGTTTTTCGGAGGAAGAGGCCTGAGGGTCTCCGTCGCAGAATGCGGTTGAAAGAGAGATGGGAGGCAGAGATGAGAGAAAACCAGTGTTTGGACACAGATTTGAATCTGATCAGAGACTTGAAGGGCGTGCAGACTAGGATCTCCGTCAGGAGGTCATCGTTTCCCGCGATTGTGGTGGAGGCCAACGACGTCGTTTGGTGGCAGTCCTCCTCCGGCGAGGAGATTTCGTTGTCGTTGCCTGTGATTGGCACCATTTTTTGTCGACTAAAGACTATACTACTAGCTCGAGGAAACTGGCCAATGTAAAGTGTTGAAAGCTTGACTGATACCAGGAGGTCAGTCGACCGAGTATGTTAGCATCGGAGTTGTGGACCCCAACTGTACGTGTTGTTTTGGCTACGTTGTTGAGGTGGAGCGTTGACTCGGCCCACTATTTACATACTCCAAAAATGAGACATCTGGTGTCAAAAAAAAAAATGGGGATAAATGATTTTTTTTAGTCCAGTTTGCATTTCTTTAAAAATAAAAAAATATGTTATAATTTTTATATTTATTTATTACTAATACTCCCTATTATATATCATTTGACATAGAAGAAATAAGAATAGAAAACACTGAACAAATTTTTTAATGAATGGCATACAAATATACTTGCACTTTGGAGCTATTCTAAATTTTACTCACTTTGGAGCTATTCTAAATTTTACTCCCTCCGTCCCAAAATATAGTTAGGTGGAAGAAATTTTTTTTTACTTTCACAATAATAAATAATACATCCAATTAGGTACGGCTAATTTAATATCTCGACTTACAAATTGGCATGCATCTAATATCATTGGTAAAACCATGATTATCGACGAGCAATGATGCCATAGGCTGCAACAAATCTCTCTTTTGAGTGACTTGTGTCTCATTGAAGACACGCCTTGTTTCTCATAAAAGGCACCATCAAACAATACACATATTACCTTTAAAAACTTATGTTATAATTAGGGAACAGTTCGGGTTCGGATCGTTAAGAGTTCAGCTTGAATTTGTTCGTTTAGTAAATGAGTCGAGTCTGAACCTAATTTTCAGGTTCGTTTAACAAATGAGGCTAGTTCGAACAATGTTGGGCTCAGTTCGTATAATCTTGTAAACATGGGTTCATTAAGGCTCGTGAACAAAGCTCGGGTTCGTTATATATCTATACATATTTATATATATAAAATAAGGAAAATGATAGGGCCACCGAATGATTTACCCGAATAAGTCCCGAATCTGACGTGTTTTTGTCCACCTCATCTAGTTAAACAATTCTAAAAAAATAATTGTTTAACACATGATAAGTATAGCCAATCACGTCAAATTCGGTGTTAATTCGGGGATTCATGTTCGATTCCTCTATCATTACTCATAAAGTAATAATGATTCAGGATAGTGACTTTGAGAATACATGTGACTTTGAGCTTTGTTTTTGGGCTTATGGGTTAGATTTTGCTGATTGAAGCTGAAAGCATCATTGGGGTGCCTTATTTGGGTTGTATCGTTTAATTTAGCCTTGTCTATATTATGGGCTTGATGTACATTATTCTTATATTTAGGGAAAAGTGCAAAAAATTCCTCTGAACTATTAAAAAATCAGCAATTAACCCCCCTAAATTACAAAAATTGCAACTAACCCCCCTGTACTATGCATTTTTGTTGTAGATTGCCCCATCCGGCAAGGCTCCGGTCGGTAAAGTGACCATGTGATGGTCACGTGACACACAATATAATTTTAATGACTATAACGCCCTTATGAGCATGAAAAGACACTAATGCCTCTAACCATTACACGGTTACACCCAAATCCTTAACGCCCAAACACTGCCTTGTGACTTCTTTATGATCAACACACACACACACACACACACACACACACACACACACATAGTTATAATCACTATTCATCTTCTTCACTATGTTCTCTCTGATACATGTTCATCCCATTAGAAAAATCACGCACTGATGAAAGCAAAAAAGAAATATTAGCCTAAAATTCCCAAACCTTCGGTTGGAATCTCAGGAAATGCATTAACGACTGAGTCTGTTCTTCGTCGATAGCGTCGGGTAATCTTCTAGTAGATATGTGCTACCGTCTTCCAAAACTCTACCGACTTGTTCTGTCCTATAACCAATTCTTCGTCGATAGCGTCGGGTAATCTTCTAGTAGATATGTGCTACCGTCTTCCAAAACTCTACCGACTTGTTCTGTCCTATAACCAATTCGATGGCCAAATTATTTCCATTTTACATGAATTCTCGGAACTTCAAATATTGTCATTGGCATATAACAGATTCAGTGGAGCAATACGAAGAGAGATTAACAACCTAACCATCCTGGAAGAGTGATATCTTAACGTAAACAACTTGAAATGTATGATAGTTGTTTGTGCTTTTGTTTTCCCTTGCTCTATCCATGTGTGCTTGCATATATATATGCAAGGACTTTATCTTATAAAGTGACAAGATTTTGTTAATTTTGGAATTTGTGCTCTGTTAATCACGTATATTAATTAATTACTAGGATGAATAAAGACATAGCCTATCCATCAACATTAGTTTCTATTATGATGTCCCAAATTAAGATAGAGGTAATTTCTCTCAACTACGTACCTTACAGGAAACATTCCTAAATAAATTGGCAAACTTGCTAATCTGAAGATTTTGGTCATTGGGATGAACCAGCTTTCGGGCTCCATACCCACCTCTTTCTTCAACATCTCCTTACTGGAAATAATTGGTTCCGACAATAATAGCCTGTCCGGTAATCTTCCAACGGATATGTGCTATAGTCTTCCAAAACTCTACTGGCTTGATTTGTCCTCTAACCAATTCGATGGCCAAATTCCATTACGTGAATGCTAGGAACTTCAAATCTTGTGGTTGTCAAAAAACAAATTCAATGGAGAAATACCAAGAGAGATTGGGAACTTAACGTTCCTGAAAGAGTTATTTCTTGACCAAAACAACTTGAAAGGTAAGATAGATTTTGCTTCTCTTCTTTACTTTATTCGGCCATGTGCGCTTGCATATATATGCAATGACTTTATCTTATAACAATGTATATATGCAATGACTTTATCTTATAACAATGTATATATGTCGTATATTGATTACTTAGAGGAATAAATGTATGATAGTATGTGGATATATTCAAATGCTTTAAAATCTTATTAAGAAATAATTTGCCGGCAAAATTTGTTCTTTATACTAAAAAATTATTATTTATTTTGCTAATTATCCCACAATTTTTTAAAAAAATAAATTATTTGCAATGTAGTTACCAAACTAGATAGGTTAATTTAGAACTTATGTGCACTCACTCTCCCATAGGGCATTTCTGATTCAGTTTTGGTTTAGCGTATAAAAGCATCCGAAGCATGACATAAAACGATGTAGTTAGATTGAAAAAAAATGTACATGTACGACCAAAATGTTAATTTTAATTTTTGCAGGTGTAATACCACAAGAAATTGAAAAACTTTGCAATCTAGAGTATTTAAATTTAGGTTTCAATAGCTTCAAAGGACCGATTCCAGAAACAATTTTCAACATGTCAAAACTATTGATCATTAATTTTGTGAAAAACCATCTTTCAGGCAAACTTCCGTCAAGTATTAGGTTATCGAATCCTGAAGAATTATACCTTGGTCTAAATAACCTCAATAGAATTATCCCTCACTCTATCTCAAATATGTCCAGACTCATTGTTTTGGATCTTTCCAATAACAATTTCACCCATTCACTTCCCAACTCACTCCGTAACTTGGAACTCCTCGAAATTCTAAACCTCTCAGGAAATAATTTAATCAGTGAATCTCCAAACCCAGAATTGAGCCTTATTACTGCCTTGACGAATTGCCGACGTTTAAAGATTTTGCGGGTAGACGAAAATCCTCTTAATTCCATGCTTCCAGTTTCCATTGGGAATCTCTCCACTTCGCTTCAAAGGATCAGTGCGAGTTATTGTGAAATTAAGGGCAGAATTCCCAACCACATTGGTAACTTGAGCAATTTGGCTTTCCTCGGTCTACATGGTAATGGCTTCACTGGATTTATTCCAACCACAATGAACAAGTTATCAAGGCTTCAAGTTTTAGATCTTGGATTTAACAGGAAACAAGGGTCCATTCCAAATGATCTCTGCCTCTTACACAAATTGGGATCATTAGATCTGGGTGAAAATGACCTTTTTGGTCCAATTCCAGCTTGTCTAGGGAATGTTACATCTCTAAGAGAACTTTTTCTGGATTCCAACAGATTAACCTCAAAAATACCCACAAATCTGTTCAGCCTTGAAGATATTTTGTATTTGAACTTGTCCTCAAATTCTTTAAATGGCTCAATTCCCTCGGAGATTGGAACTTTAAAGGCCGCAATACAAATAGGTTTATCATTGAATAGCTTTTCAGGTAATATCCTTAGCACAATTGGAGGTCTGCAAACCTTAATCAATCTTTCTTTGGCACATAATAATCAATCTTTCTTTGGCACATAATGGATTACAAGGACCTATTCCTATGTCCTTTGGCAACTTGATAAGCTTGGAAAATTTGGATCTATCTTACAACAATCTCTCGGGTGAAATTCCAAAGTCAATAGAGTCACTCTTGTTTCTTAAGTATTTCAATGCATCTTTCAATAGGTTAAGAGGAGAAATTCCCACCACCGGACCATTTGTAAACTTCACAAGTCAATCCTTCATGTCGAATGAAGCATTATGTGGTGTCCGAAAGTTTCAAGTCCCACCATGCCATTCAAGCTCTCTTCAGAGAAGAAGGCCAAAAAAGTTACACCTCAATCGGTCTCGATATCATAATTAATTTCTGCAATATTTGCATCAATGATATCTAATTTACACCTCAATCACAAAAATAAAAATAAAAAATAAAAAATAAAAAATTATTATTCATGCAAGAAAAGAATACAGAGACATTTGTATGCGCGATATATATAGATATCCACTACAATAATAAAGGTCCGGCGACAATAGATCCACCATTGGCGAGCACGACGTCGACCTTGGTCAGATTCCTTATTTCCTCTTTGTGGGTTTTGTATCTCCATGGCCACTGTGAACCCATTTAGAAGGAACCACACATGCACAACCTTATCACAATTTTACAAATCAAAACAACTCAATATCCATATCCGTCTTCATCGCCATCGCCATCGCGAACCCATTTGTGGCACAATCGAAATCAACTCCTCCAGCATCCTGGCCATCCCCACCGATGGCACCATCACCACCGTCCCCACAACTACACCGGCGGAATCACTCCCATGGAAAAACCAAGTCTTCTATTACGTGGAACCCCTAGGCTTCTTCACTTTCACCTTCTCTCTGGAACTGTTATGAACCCACAGGAATGAGGTTTTTATTTATTTTTTATTTTTTCATTTTCTGGTTTGTTAATTTGTTTGACTTTTTTTTTTTTTTTTGGAATATTACAATATTAGTTGTCAAATTCTTATTGGTCCATGAGAATGCACTGTCCACGTCATCCTCTATGTCTTCCATTTAAGTTTATAGCTATGGAAACTAGCTGTTTTAGGAAGGTTAAATATGTTTTTTGATTTTTTCAGTGACCGGTTGTCCTTAACTGCAACAAAATCAAAGTTGAAGTGGGTTTCTTGTAATTCAGGGAGTTAATTGCAAAACCCTAATAGTTCAGGCGGGTTTCTTGCACTTTTCCCTTATATTTATTTTACAAGTTACCTTCTGGATTTTTTATTTTATTTTTTATTTTTTGGTGAAATAAAAATTAATTTTGAAAACAAATTATTTTTTATTTTATTTTTTTAAAAATATTTTTATTAAACGAGCCGAGTTCCGAACCCGAGCAGACCCACATATACAAATGAAGCTAGCCCAAACACACCCAAACTCAACTCGGCTCGATTCATTTGTAACTTAGTTACAACCCTTCATCATATATAAAGTATATAGTTGCGAAATGGCCAAATGATTATATGGACTAGTGTCACCAGGATTAACTAAATGCACTTCTTGTCATATTACTGATAATAGCGATGACATAGTAACATGCTGAAAAGTCTTTGTCGAATTGTAGACTCTCTCCCTCTTTTTGTATATATAAATATATGTAACGACAATACTTAGGTCTTCATCAGTTAATATAACAATAAACAAATAGTCACACCTATTTTAATTACCAAATCAGGTATGATAATTAACCCACCAAATCAGATTTTGTAAGTGAGTTTGTACTCTACCATTTTTTATTTAATAATTAAAGAGAATGCGTCTCTATGTTTTTTTGTTTACATCAACAGTTAGGAAGGATGACATACATCCTCACCGGCAAAGATCTCAATATTGTTTGTAATATATGAACAAAATTCCTCTATTTCTCTCAAATAAAAATAATACATAGTAATAAAAGTGGTCAACACTATACCGGTTGGCTGAGCTGGCGAAAAACATGTAGAGTAGGGGTAACAATTTGTGTTCGTCGGTCATAATCGTATCGTGTCTATATAAGAGTATTCTACTAAATAGGTAAACCCAAATCTGACCCTTTTAATAATAGTATCAAGAACCCTCGATACTAACCCGATTTGTTTATTAAGTTAACGTGTTAACCCGTTTAATGACTTGTTTATGTTATTTATCCAAACTAGATATTTAATATTTAATTAAATAATAAATACTAAAAAAAATTGTCACAATTAACTCAAATATTTAAAATAAGAAAAATAATAATAACGCGTAGTCAAGGTTTATGTTGAAATAACTTAACATATGTAGTCGAGTTTAAACAGGTAACGTATATAGTCATATTAACTATTATAACATGTTGAGTTACACGTGTTGAACTCTCAATCCTAATAAAATGAAAGCAAATAACTGTATAATGAATATATATATATACACATATATACATATTTCATTGGATCATGGATGCGGTAATAATATATAGGCTTATTGGCCTCACCATGAAAGCAAATAACTGTATAATGAATACATTTCATTGGATCAAAAGCCAAACCAGCGCCGAAACAAGTGGAAGATTTAGTTCCGGTGAGTGGTGGAAGTGTTGAGTATTTCTTGGTGGTGGGATTGTATATATAATAATCAGGAATTGATTCTTGGACAAATTTTCGGAAAGTAGAACAGAGAAACAAGCCATTGCAAGACTGTAAGATTTTGATACTTGAAGTATCGTCCACAAAATTGAGAAACCTGAAGGAAGTTCCAGAAAGATTGTTGTTGCTGAATGAAACAAACTCGAATTCGGACTTGGTGGGGCGGAGGCGAGAGAGGGATTTCCGGAGGAAGAGGCCAGAGGGTCTGAGGTTTGGGTGTCGCAGTGTGGAGGAGTGAGATATGGGAGGCAGAGATTAGAGAGAACCAATGTTTGGACACAGATTTGAATCTGATCAGAGACTTGACGGGCGTGCAGATGAGGATCTCTGTCGAGATGTCATAGCCAGCAATTGTAGTGGCCGTTGATGACAGCGTTTGGTGGCAGTCTCCTCTGGTGAGGATATTTCGTTGTTGGCGTCTATGGTGGCTAACATATATTTTTTTTTTCTTGATTACTTAGGAACTCCTCCACGCAGGGCCCCTTAGGGATCCACCGTAGGGTACAAACCTGGGGGGTGGATCCTTGCGCAAGGACACCTCCGGGTGAGTCCGGAAACGCAGGTGGCAAACATTTTTGTAGTCTCTCAAAGAGTATAGACTACTCTACTACTAGTATACCCCAATCCGAGTCGAATGACCATCATAAAAATACTTTATAGTTGTTGTCTTCCTGATCTAGTATTTTACAACTACGACAAAGAGTGTAACATTCTGCTCCAGGTCGAAATTCGTTTGTCCTAAAGCAATATAAGGGAATTTGGCTTAGTTCTATAGACCAATACCAAGATCAACCCAACAAATCATGAATAACTTTAACTCAAACCCTAATTTCATGCAAAGTTCAAAACTTCAACCTCTAAACAACATTTTTTGAAAAGAGAAATTTATATAGGAAGCTCGCCATAGTTCATGAAGTCCAAATAGGAAATTATATGATAGATAGATTTTTTATTTTTTTTCGTGACATGATACATTAAAATTTCAATCATATTAAAACTTCACATACTATAGTAAAAATAAGGAATTAGAAACAATATTTTTTTGGAAAATTAAAATCATGCATACATGAACCTTGTAGGGGATTACTCTCCTTTCAAGCCACCTGTCACATTGAGCGTCACCGAGGCTCACTAGGGTCAAGCACCTCGGCAGCCCAAAGGGCGAGACTCTCACGTATCTCGAGTAGGAAGGTATCAATCACATGAGTCTCATTTACCGCCGTCTTCGAAGGGATGGGCATTTAATGAAATAGTACTTAACCCTAGCATAAAGACTGAGATACCCCTATTGTACTCAGTAGGACTATCAAAGTTACCTAGGAAGATCTCGAGAGACCCTCCCACTTGTAAGAGGGACCTGGGCCTATAAATAAGGGCCGAGGTACACAAGCCCAGTGACCCATTTTTGGCTGGATAATCATTCTGTTGTATTTTGTACTTTGATATCATCTTGGTAGCCGCAAAGATTTCAGCTTTCTGAATGTCAGTGAGAACATTATCCCACCATCCTTTAAGGATTCCTGTAAAACCAGCAACAACAAACTTAGCAATGGTTGGGTCAGTATTGTGGTTGATTTTACAGACTTGGCTATACATCAAGATTTGATGAATAACCTCGTAAATCTGGTTTAGGAGCAGAAACAACTAAACCACTTCGGTAAATAACATCTTTGAAAATTTTCAAGTGTTTATAATGTTGATCTATTGATTTTGAGAATATGAGAATATCATCAATATAAACAATAGAAAATTCAGTAAAAGGATTAAATATGTCATTCAAAATATGTTGAAATTCTGAAGGGGCATTTTTTAATCCAAATGGCATTACTGTCCATTCATACTGTACTAAAAAACCACCACAAACCTTCAACACCACCTCAATATATATATATATATATATATACTAAGCTGTAGTGCAACTCGTCAAAGGATAAAGTAAGAACATGACATGGAACATCATGGATGCTGGCCTGCAATGACACTCATCAAAAAGAGGAGACAGTGAAACAAGTTCCCAATAAGAAAGGAAATTATTTCGGCAATCAATATTAAAGAGATGACTTGAATGTCTGCACACACACAGTAAAGTCTACAAACGTATATGTATCACAACTTCACTCAAGTAAGTCGTTGTAGGTCAGGCTTTAACTCATCTGTATGTCTATATAACTATATATATAATTATACTTATCAAAAAAAAAAAAAACTATATATATAATTATATATCGAGTCATAGTTTTTCTCTTTCTTTTTCTTTTTCTTTTTTTTTAGTAAGTACGAATTTCAAATCATATTAGAGTTAGTATTACTTAGATGTCTACTTATATGCAGCGATTCAATTTATAGAAAAAAGTTTAGAGAACATCACTATTAATTATATTTCTTTATGTACTGTGAGATGCAATTCAAACTCCAGGAACGATATATAAAAAGGACCCTAAGAGTGAAACTAAGATTCTCTTTCTATTACTGTTTATTTTTATAATTTTCAACCACTTGCTTTAGAAGCCAAACCCCAATCTGATTAAACTTTGTTTTGCCCCTATAACCCTATTCAACAAGGCTAAGACATTCCTCCTTCAATATTTGATATACACCAAAAGAACCAAAAACAACCAAAGCCACTTTTCAAGTAGACTGTCCACAATTCAAACCCAAAAATTTCAATATCTCCACTAAATTTTAGCTGGAAAATTCAACAATTGAAGGAAAAATACTCATTAGTGTCGGTCCTGCTAAAGGAAACTCGAAATTCGGAAACTATGATTTATCTGTTCGGCTAATATGAAATCACACAAATGATATGGTTGTGATAACCAAAACAAGACGATTCTCATCATAATCAAGCAAAAAAGAATTTCATCATTGATGCAATCCAATTCTAAAGAGGTGGGAAAAGGAAGATAAAGCAACAGAGCTCACACAAATATGGAAAACAAAGAAACAGCTTGGTACTTAATGATACAGGTTGGACACCTTAAAGTTGCAAATTTTTTGAGGCAGAGGGAACACTACAAAAACATGAGGCATGTATGCAAGAACTTATATATAAACACGCACAAACGATTTAAAGCCTAACTTACAACTTCACTCGAGTAAGAAAACATGGACTTTGTCAAGTGTGGCAGAAGTAGCTCAATGCATCAAAAGTTGTCTCACCCTAAGCTAGCAAAAATGGTTCAACCAAATAGGCATACTAACACTACCAAAATCCAGTCAGGCATATTACATGAAGATTGAAATTACTTTCTTTTCAAGTGTCTGACAAATTTCATACTTTCCAGCACCAACATTGAATAATGCATCCAATGATGTGATCTGGACATACCAATTGGCATTACGTCTAATATCATTGATAAAACTACCATTATGGCACGACATGATGCCAGAGGCAGCCATCAAAATCTCTGTGTATAAGCATCAAACTGAAGCAAGAGTCTCTGTGTATATATAAGCATCAAAACATCCAAATAGTAAAGAACCCTTTTTATGAAATTTTCCGGGTGCCAAATTATGAAGCTCCTTGAAAGTATTATCCTTAAGTTTATAAGATAAGACCTTACCGGGTACGTGCAACAGCAGCGATGACTCATCTTCATCCTCTTCTCGTACAAGATTAAGTATGGAGTAAGCATCCATCTCTGGAAATGCATTTACAATTCCAACAAGATCAACGCGATACTTCACAAACCATTTAGAGTAGTCCCTCTCAATCTCAAAAACATCAAATTGTGTTCTCACAGTCTGATAATTCTCTATAAGAAATAAATGACCATTAGACTCACCAAAGTACCTATTCTTCCTCTCCCTAATATTCCCCGAAACCGGAATCATCGGCAATCTTTCAAGATACTCATGATCAACATCAAAGCGGAACGAAAGCCCACTAATATTAATCCAATGAATCGAGCCGTTACAAAAGACTCCATTTGCGAGCCCCGAATAGTCTGAGGTTTTGATTTCAAATGGTTTCCCAAGTGACCTCCAAGACCGAGTCTCCAATGAATATACATCAATATAGAGTGTATAGTCGTAAAAAACGGAATACTCTTTCATACACCAAAAGCAAATAACAGTATAATGAATAGATTTCAATGGATCAAAAGCCAAACCATAACCGTAAACAGTAAATTCAGTTCCACTTAGAGGTGGAAGCGTTGAGTATTGCTTGGTTGTTGGATTGTATATATAATAATTGTGAGTTGTTTTTCAGACAATTTTTCTAAAATTTGAACAGAGCAACAAGCCATTGCAAGACTGTAAGATATTGACAACTGAAGGATCGTCCGCTAAATTGAAGGCTCCGGAGAGATTGTGGTTGTTGCTGCTGAATGAAACGAACTCGAATTCGGACGTGTAGTCGCAGGGATAAAGAGGGCTTTTCCGGAGGAAGACGCCGGAGGGTCTGCGTCGCAGAATGCGGTTGAAAGAGAGATGGGAGGCAGATATGAGGGAAAACCAGTGTTTGGACACAGATTTGAATCTGACCAGAGACATGAAGGGCGTGCAGACTAGGATCTCCGTCAAGAGGTCGTCGTTTCCGGCAATTGTGGTGGCGGCGGCCGACGACGGCGTTTGGTTGCAGTCCTCCTCCGGTGAGGAGATTTCGTTGTCGTTGCCGTGATGGCCAACATTTTTGTCGAGTAAAAGACTAGACTATTCCTACTTGGAGTAATATATTTGCCAATGTATTTGGCCACGGCTCTCTCTCTCTCTCTCTCTCTCTCTCTCTCTCTATATATATATATGCGTGCGTGTAAAAGGCTAGACTATTCCTACTTGGAGTAATATATTTGCCAATGTATTTGGCCACGGCTGGCTGGCTCTCTCTCTCTCTCTCTCTCTCTCTCTCTCTCTCTCTCTGCGTGCGTGCGTGAAAGAGAGAGTGCGTGAGAGAGGGAGAGCCGGTTTCATTGATTGAGGGAGTTGGCTCCCTAAGTCACAGAGCTGGCTCCCAAGGTGGGGGAGTCGGCTCCCATTGGTTGAGAGCTTGCTCTCATGCCTAAAGGTGTATTGGACGTGGGTTTAGGTACTGTTTTGATATTTTTGGATTTCTGGACTATTCTGGGTTGATATTAAGAATTCTAAATATTATTTCATGTTATATTAAGCTCCATGGAGCTCCCAAGTCACAGAGCTGACTCCCAAGGTAGGGGAGCTGGCTCTCAACTTTTGAGAGCTTGCTCTCATGCCTAAAGGTGTACTGGACATGGGTTTAGGTACTGTTTTGATATTTTTGGATTCCTGGACTATTCTGGGTTGATATTAAGGATTCTAAATATTATTTCATGTTATATTAAGCCTCATGTTGCATATTTAATGCCTATATGCTAATGGAATTGAACAGTGTGAAAGTTTAAACAAAGTTTGCATACTGTTAATGGATATAAATGATTTAATTGCTTAATCTGATTTTAGTAATTTAAATGACTGGGACATGATTTTTAAATTTGTATTGGATGCATAATAGGGTCATATATATATATATATATATTAGATTTTATTATGATTATTTTGGATTTTAATTAATGAACCATTAAATTCTGTTCTATCCATTACATGGATGTTATTTTGAATTTTAATTTATGAACCATTAAATTCTATTCTATCAATTACATAGATGTTATTTTGGATTTTAATTGATGAACCGTTAAATTTTGTTCTATCAATTACACGGATGTTATTTTGAATTTTAATTGATGAACCATTAAATTCTGTTATGTCATTTACATGGATGTTATTCTGGATTTTAAATTGATGAACTGCTTTATCTATTTTATCAATTATTGGATTGATTGTGGATTATATGCACCGGTATGGGACGGTGGTATATTAGGTATGGATTAGATCAGAACGCTAATTCCTACCCATTCTGGATTTTAATTGATGAACTACTATTCTGTTTTGTCAATTATTGGATTTCTTTTGTGGATTATATGCACCGGTATGGGACGGTGGCATAGTAAGTACGGATTAGATCAAAACGTTTACTCCTACCTATTCTGGATTAAAGAAATTAATTTAATTATAACATTTAAATCCTATTTACATTTCGTATCTTAGCAACGAACAGTTGAGCAGCACTACCTTGAAAAATGAAGGATTTTAAATATATATTATGGTACCGCGATATGAGCTTGAGTCTTAAGATCGACGGTTAGGGAGCGTATATGCATTGGGATGCATAGCTGGCTATGATGGTAGAGGTATACCCTGTTAGGCTTAAATACACATGCCCACTTCAGGTGCGTTTTGCATGTTCCCTTTTATTCAGGTTGAGATTCCCTTTGTAGTCCAGTGAGAGTCCTTTAGTGTGGATATATATATATATATATATATATATATATATATATATATATATATATATATATATATAGTTATGCACTATATAGTTATTGCTCAGTTATTTAGGATGTATCTGCGTATCGGGTCTTTGCTTAAACTATAGTTAAAATAGAACTTGTTTGTGGGCCTGACCCACCATTATTTTTCAGGTATTCGTCAGGAGTAGGGACTGTTCGTGCTGAGCAGGAATTGTCTACTTCACTTAACCGGATTATTTACATTGAATTTTGCTTTATGTTTCAACGTTCTGATGTAGTCACTTGTTCAGTTGGGATTTTCTAGGGGTCCACATAGTATGAATTCCCGAGTTGTATTAGTAATGGAAGATTGTATGTACTAAAATATTTTCTTATTTATAAAAATTTATTCTGATGTTTTTATTAATGGAATATTGTTTTAGTTTTCTTTCAGCAAATTTTATTCATTCCTATTTTATCATATTTGTATTCTGAGTTTGATTATTGCCATTTGTTTTTTATATCCTTGGGTAATCGGGCGTGGGCCTGGCCAACCCGCATCTGAGAATTTGGGGGTATCACAGTTGGTATCAGAGCAATCCAGGTTTAAGTGTCCTTAGGAGTGTCTTTCGTTATATGACTTTCGCGTTGCGTCTTTTAAAACCTAGAGCCCATATTAGGATTCGTAGTATTCTATCTACCGTTCGTTAGGAGGAGCTAATGTCAATTAAATTATGTAGTTACAAAATGGTTGACCCTGGGAGGAGGATGGGGTCCAAGGCGAAAGTGATAAAGACCCAAAAGAGTAAAGGAATACGTTATCGATTTCTTTGTCAGAAGGCAGAACTTGAGATCAAAGTTTTAGTTCCAGGTTGGCATTACTTTAAACGTATAAGCTAAGGAAGGATTTAGGTACATGTGTTAGGTCACCGCATATCGGGGCCAACATGACTTTAGTTAATCTCAAAAAGGAGACAAGCGAAGAGTAGGAATCCGAAGAGGATCCACGTAAAGGAGATTTCAGAGTATCCAAGGAACATGGGTACTAAATCTTGCAGATAATGATCGCGCAAGGGTGATCTTATTTTCGAATAGTATAGTGAATGCTATTAGTAAAATTGGTGTTGATCAATCTACATATAGTTGAACTTTCTTATCATCTCTAAAAGAGATATATAAGAAGAAATCTTCAGGAGTTTGGAGATTTGATGGAGTTCTTATCTGAACGGAATATATGATTTTATATCACGTTCAAGAGTGTATGGGGATTATGTTATAACGTTCTAAGTTGTTTTATAAAGCCACGTTAAATGATTTTCATTCCGCGTATAAGGAGGATGCGGGATTAAGCCTTGATATTTGTTTAGGCAAATTAATGTTGCTTTTAAGCTATGTTTAAAAGATATGTTTAGAGATTGAATGATTACCTACAAAACTATATAAGGAACTTGGTGAAATAATTTTGAAAGTTGAGTTCAAATGAGGTTTTCTTTTCTAGAAAGGACGATGTCTTAAGTAGGATTATATTATATTTTATTTTGTTTTGTCATACGTGTTTTATTTTCATTCATTATTCAGGATTTGGAATGTGGTTTAGTTGGGGACACAAGTATGTGATTAACCAACTACTGTTTTTACACTATGGGGTAATAGCACTATATTACGCTAGGATTTTGAGCATGGGGTCATAGGATTTGGTAGATATACATAATTCTAGCCAATCTATTGAACCTTAACATGCGTCATTATGGTATGTTATTTGGGATGTGATAGTTAAACCATCACTACTAGTCAAATAATCTAATACGATTAGGTTGATATACTTGAACGCCACGATGATTAATCGAAGGTGCTGACTTTGCTGAACATCTTCTTGGGAATTCCAGAAGTTGTCACCAAGTTTGAAGAAGGATTTAGTACTTGTTTAGGTACTTATTGGAATGACACTGACTGAGGATAGTAGACGGACTAAATCTTCATTAGTCTATTCTTAACCAGGACACTATTCATGAGTGTGTTATTTGGAGGAGTTGCCAGGGTTGCATATTAAGGAGGAAGCAAAGTTTCTTTATTTGCACAAATAATATAGAATTTTTTTTTTTTTTGGTTACAGATCACAACAAATAGCTGTTGCTATGACATTTATGACTTATTTGGAGGATGGAAAGATTCTATATTCTTTTGAAGTTAGACAAGAAGTCAGATTGACACTTATTTGTGTTAGAGAAGTATGATGTGTCAACGACATGAAGGTAAGACCGAACACCTAAATAAAGAAAAGGTGCACGGTGTATATAGAAAAGATGTAATTAGTTTGACTTTTGATAAATGGAATTACCAATTGAATTTCCATATCGGTAAGTTTATCACGGATCAGTATGTAAGAATTTAGTTGCAAAGTTAGCTGTTGAGGATGCTCCAATTTAAACAATGAGTACAGACGAAAGCTGGTGGTACCAGACTAACGGTACTTTCTGTAGAAAAATGGGAAGGAGGATGTAAGGACTGAGGTTCACAACCCTTAGTACTTTATCTATCCTGGCGGAAACATAATGTTTCACGGTATGAAACAGATATTTGGAGGACAGGTAGGAGGAGGGACATAGTGATTTTGTCTCCTAGTCTAATATTTATTAGATAGTCGAGATGGACCATCAGAGATCACTAGATCCTTGCAGCCATCTTCTATATTGAAATGGAAATGACAGAGCATTTTTCACGAATTTAGTTGAAGGATTGCTGATTTTCTTTCAC